CAGTTAGCACAGACTACCGTCTCAATAAATATGTTTAATATGAATGCCACCAGTTTTCCCAGTTTTATTTAATCTGTAAAAATTGCAGAAAAGAAAAATCAGTAAGTATAAACAGGCTTGTAACATCATAACTCCAGATATATAAAATCATGTCTTTGTGTGTGTTTATCCTTGTTAAATCCAGAGTATTTAGGATATATTAACTTCTAATTGCCAGATAATAGTCTGCAAAATGCCTCATCCTGCTCTGCTATTCCTTCACCATGTCACTGCTAATCAGCACTCTGACACCTGTGACTGTCCAGACCCCTGCTGCAGACAGAATTAGCAGATCAACATTTTTGAGTGTAATGACCCACTCCGATTTACCCCCCTTAATCTGAGCGTTGTTAGTCATTTAGAACAAACAGGTGTTTGTTGCATGGAAGCTGATGAACCATGCAAGGGTCAGAGTTCAGTGGCCTCCACCCTGTAGTGACAGGATCATTTGGGATAGCCATTATGTTCTGCCAGTGAGTGTTTGTGTTTGGCCTGGAAGTGGATGCGTGTTTGGAGCAGATGGAATTAGTGTGACTAATATGGATTACTGAAATCGGCCTTTGCACCAGAAAACATTAGGGCGGAACACTCCGCATGGTAAGATCATACACATGCGCATGCAGTTTGAGCTGTAATTGTTTAATAAATTTCTAAGTGATCACCAGAATAAAAGCATCGAATGAATGTATGGTTATATGCGGTTTTTAGTCTAAAGTGATTTGAGTGGTTAGTAAGTATGCCACACTGTTCCAGTCCACCGTAACCAGCATCCTTGAAAACAATATGTTCAGAGAGCTTTTGTGTAATATTTCCAAAATTCTTTATGAAATGTTAAAAAAATTACTTGCTTCATTTAATCCACTTAACATTTAGGGAGGGACTCCATAATTCAAGAGCTACATACTTTAAGTCATTGTGTCTGACACAGAAACGGTGAGTGCTTATAGTGTTGAAAAGGATTACAGCACATAATGTGTGAACGTCGTCACCCTCCATATATGTTTAAACACACACATATTTCTGAAATAACTTTAATCTGTCGGTAATTACTTATACCAAACATTCGAATGCCAGTCATTATTTTCCCTTAATGAACTTAAACTTTTCTTTTCACTCCCTTGTGCGGATGATATGCCCACCCACATTTCAGCATAGCTCGGCTCAGTTTGAGATTACACAGGAGCTTCAGCTACAAACAATGTGGAATCTGCAGATGTGTATACATAGCACGGCTGTGATGCAAGTAAAGTTTGAAAGTTACACAGGATGTGTACACAGCAGCTTTTGATGAATGTCTGCTGGTGTCACAAGGTTATATATCAGTGACTCGAATGCTTGACCCCGAGGCTTTTGGAGATTTTGATGCCTGTCGCCGTGCTTCTCTTTGTCATTGTGTTTTTATAGTGCAGGTATTGATATGAATATTAAATGTTAAGATAAATGTTTATGCATATCTGGGAACTGATAATATGAGCGGGGGGGGGGGGGG